TCTGTTCTGATCTGATTGGACGTTTCCCCGCTGCTGATCTCACAGTGATTTTAGAGAATTTGTATGAAGAAAAACAAAAAACCCACCACTTAATTCCAGGTTAAAAAGGCATTGAAATGTGCATTACTGACATTTGTATCAGGTCAAATATCATTTTTTTTGTAATTCCTTACATTACTGCTTTACACTAAAAAGCAATGCATTACAGTAATTCTTTACTTTTGTAAGGTATTACTCCCAACACTGATGATTACCCTTCTATAAACAAAAATGTCAACCATAAGAATTATTTTTACTATGAGATTACTATATTGCAAGCATTTTGTAAACCAAAGTTCCCACATGAATTAAAAGCTATCTGCAGAACACATTATGTGACTACAAGTGGATAAACTGTTACTGCCTGCTTTATCAGCAGCTAAAGCTTTGTGTCTGCCCCAGGCTTCAGTGATGTGCAGCTGCCACAGTACCACAGCCCATGGAAAGTCTCTACCTGAGAGTAGAGCAGAGGGATATTATAATGTTTACATATTTAAACTTCCATAATAATAATGTTTTTTTTTCAATATTATAGTAAAGAATTCATGCCTCCTCCCATACACAACAACATGTCTGAGGAGTTAATTGCTGCTGATTCTATAACAAGTTAACCTTGATAATGTTTACCATGAGGTGTCTGTCCTCTGTGAGTGGGATGAGATTTGCTTATGGCAGTAAATCTGGCAGACACAAGCAGACAAATTCTAATTTAATTAGGTCTGGGAATAACATGAGGCCTACACAATTTCCTTGACAAATAACCTACACTATATGGTAAATAACAAGTCTGAAAAATGGTTGCACTGGGATCAAGTCAGGGGTTGTATAACAGCTTTGTGTTTGTTGCGTAGTAGCTCTGTAGGATGGATTTATGGTGAATAATAATAGTGTGAGTCACAATGCTTGTGTGAAGTGAAAACGACCAAGCCCACGCAAAGCTCTTGGTGTAATGTATGCAGCCAGCACCTAATTTCCTATTCCTCTCCAAGGAAGCCTTCTGAAACCAACCCAGTCGCTCTATTTATATCTGGTAACATCTTTTCATCTCTGCACTGATAAAACCATTGGGTGCAACTGGCACCTATACAGTCTTAAGCCCCTCACTTATGCACTTAACACAGGCACAATGATTCAGAATGTTCTAATCTAAATACATGTTCATAAGATACTCATTCATGCAATCAGTGTGCAAGAACATGGACAGATTACATCATTAAATACCGGCTCTTATAAAAGGCATCAGGATCTTCAGCTCTGATTTGTCCCTCTATGACATTGGCATGAAACAAGTAGTTTAACAATGCAGTGTTAATGGACGGGCATCAAGTCTGAAAGCCAAGTCAACCACACAACATATAAATGAATCTGATATAAACAACAGCATTATGCAAAAACTACCATATTTAATCAAGAGTTACTTTGATGACAGACCCAATGTATTCAGTTCTGATAAATGAGTTGCTGATTTTCATCTTGGCCTTGGCCTAGTTTTGCAATGAATATTATCTATAAATAACGGGCAAATACAAAGGAAATTTGCTCTTCCACAGATGTAGTTAGCACAATTAGAAGCTACAGATGAAACAGGATTATTACAGTGTGCCTTTCCCAATTTGCACATTCAGTGGCACATTAAAATACAACTTTTTATCAACAGTGAATTTTACCCCACATTTTCCACAACTGCAGCGATATCAACCAATCGCATACATCAGGCTTATTTAGTCTTGAACATAATCATCTCCAGATGGCAGTGTCAGAGATTTAAGGTGCCATTTGTTTGTGAAAATCTGTTTTTAAGCACTTGTCATGCTGATTTGTTGTAGCATGATATTGTAGAAAAATACTTGAATATTGTTCCGCGGTATGGGAAAAATTTACCAATCATCTGAAAAATTCTACATTTTAGCGACACTTTGTATTAAAACTTTAACTTATTTTGCAAACCAATAGGAAATGTCTGTAGATAAAACTGAGAAAGACAAATATAGAACTATGTTTTACACCTGAAAAAGAACACTGTTTTGGAGTTTGTTCAAGAGTTCAACTAAGGCGTGAAATACCTGTCCTAGGGAGAATGATTTCAGTTAAAGACATTTTTTTGTTTTAATTCATTGATTATTTTAACCGTGAGAACAGTAATATCATACTTTCATCTTATACCGATAACATTTATCATCACCCTCAAAGCAACTAATATACGACAACAAAATATTTTTAGGAAACTCTATGCCGAGATAAGAAGATATTGTATTTCAAATCCCAAACTCATTCAAATAACAGTATGGTGCAGGTTAAGTCATGTCATAGAAGCGTACTGTGTGTGCAGAGCAGTAGTGAAGGTGCGCTCACTCACCAGCTGGGCACATGCACGTGGCTGTTCCATCGGAGCGTGACAGGCAGGTGGAGTGGTGCTGGCAGGGGTCGTGCAGGGGGTGGCAGGGGTCGTAGGGCTCGCTGCACACGGTTCCTCTGTAGAAGGGGGGACAGGTGCAGTGGAACTCTCCAGGTACATCTGACTCCTGACACCGCGCTCCGTTCAGACAGGGAGCCGACTCGCACTCATTCACATTCACTGCACAGTCCGCACCTGTCCACCCGGGCCCGCACGTACACCTCACATAGGCAACAGAACAGAGGTCTGCATTCAAATCAATCCATGATAAACACATTTTCTATGAATATTTTTTACAAGATTATGTATCACTGGTTCAAAGAGATCAAACGCCAATTTTGAACAATCAGTGCTTAAAGGTTTTTTTCTTGTTTGCATTCACCGGAGAAGCAAATAGCATTAAAAAACAGGACACACTGGTGCTATAGATGGTTACTGGTGCAGCTCTGCAAAGCATATTTGTACAACAATAATAAGGCTGAAAAGTTCAACCTGAGGTACAAAAGCACATATTTCATTTGTGTGCTACATTACATTTTAGTATTCCATTATGCAGTTCACCTCTTCTTATTGTAAGTCCGGCATGTATCGTTGTTTAGAGTATTATCTGTTATCTGTAGATTATCCATCACATTAAAATTGATATTATCTACTGCACTGAAAAAAATAATTATAGATATTCTCAGTCATTCATATGTTCTGGTAGTTCCATCCAAATTTGAAAAAAAAAACAAAAACACAAAAAAACACCAAGATGAAAACATCCAACATAAACCCCACTTATCATATCCAAATATTGCTAGGCACTTTTCTATACCTTGACAACAAACATTACATTTTAGCCATTTCTAGCATTTTAGGCAATTCTGTGAAACCGCCGTTTACACAATTTGCTTTGATGGAGTAAGCCATTACGTTGCCTTGCATACAAATCCAGAGTGTTTGCGGTGCCCTGGTCCCCTCCTGCTTCTTACCAGCAGACAGTGCAGGGGATTTCACAGGTTAATTGCACCAGTGGCCAGAGCAGCCTTTAATTCTGGACAGCTGAATGTAGGACACAGGAGGTTAGAGCACTGAGTGGGATTAAATGGAAATGTATGCCTTGTAAGAGACAGACCAGGAGAGCCAATTGTACTGGGAATCCTTGTGTGAGAGAGAGGGGGTATATGTGAAGTGTGCGCTCTTAAGGCAGCTGAATATTCCACTTGGTGGCAGTGAGCACCCGACCACTGCTAACCACTCCACCGCACAGCCCCCCCAATCTCCATCTTTTCCCCCATTTTTCCACCTGAAGCAGTTTTACGTGTCCCCAGTGAGAGGGGCATTAGCTGCAGCAGATAGCGGCTACACCGATGAGGCGCAGATCCCCGGAAACCTTTTCATGCTGTGAGCCATTGATTGACTCATTTGTTTTACCTGCCATCTGCAATTCATTATCTCCACTGCCACTGAAAGGACATTTTGCTACGTATCAAGCAAGACCCACACTACTGTCCATAGAAACAGGCTACAGAATATGAGAAAAGCATGTGCATTAACTATGTAGAACTACGACATTGTGATAAGCCTGTTTTTTTATGATTTTATCGTATATTTTATAGTAACAGCAACAAATAATGGAGTTTAAATTGTTATTTTTAAAACTAAAGTATTCATTTGGTAGGCTGTTTTTTGCTAGCCTGATTCATCCTCACAGACCTCGCAGCAGTAGAAATTGTTCGCTTGACTGTAGGCGGGTACTTTTTTTTTTAACCAATCACTTCTGTTTGGTTGTGACGTATGTTATGCGCCGCTAACAGGGCTAACTGGTATATTAAGCTTTTCCCAAATCCCATAGGAAGAAGGGCAATAACGTCTTTTACCCTGAAAAAATTCACCAAACATTTTCTTTGTTCCGGCTTTAAATCCTTGATCTCGGGAATCATTACCAACACAGAATAGATGGCTCTTCGCTGATTGGCTGATGTTCGGACTTGCACTTCCAGGGTTCTTGCAAACCATCTAGTGTATTTTGATTCCTGACCTAATTGCTGGAGAGAAATGAAATTGAGTGGAGGCACTAGGTGGTGGCAGCCTGGCTAGTTTTCAACTGTTTTGTTTTAACTGTCACTTATGTGGTTAATCAGTAAACATTATTATTCAGGTTGCAATACATTCATAAGAAAAAAAAAATCTTAAGAATTTTAGACACAAAGGTTAATTTCCCTTCAAATGAAACCTCAAGTTTTTTTTTTTTTTTTTTTTTTTTTTATCTGGATGTCACATTAACTTTACTTTATTATTCAACATGTTTGATTTCATAAAGCTATCACATACCACAGGCAGAAGTACTGTCATAGCCAATCCAAATGAGAGAAAATTGTTTCACTGTTGTTTGGTCATGGCAACATTCATTTTGAAGATTTTTTCTCATTTATCGTAACACAAACATTTTTGCAGTTCTTGTTGTGCACTAGTTTTCTCCAACATACCAATGAGGCTACATATATAAAATTTACCTGTCAATAACTAACAACATACTACTTTATAAATGGATGATAATGAATATAAATTGTTGAATAATATGTTGTATTTTTCCTCCCTGCTATATATCGAGTGTGTGATCCCCCAGAAACAAACGTACTTGTATCCATTGTGAAGATCCATGCAGGTGCCGTTGTTTTTGCATGGCTGAGATAAACATTCATCAGTTTCTTGTTGGCAGTACTTCCCTTCCCAGCCGGAGTGGCAAACACACTCATAAGTCTGTGAATACAAAAAACAGGACGATCAGGTTAACAGTGAAATAAAGTGGCACCTTACACCTGCACTTGTCTCAGTGTCGTAAAATAACTGTTTACAGCTCTAATGGGGCTATGGCGGTAATTAAGCGTCAGTGTTAATTAAGCAGTAATACAGTCTGGAGAGGGATAAGGCTGTATTATTTATGACCTTTTAGATTTACTGCACAGATACTGCACAGCTTACAAACTTGTTATTTTGAAAAACATTTAGCCTCCTACTCATACAAGTGTTAATGTTCAAGTGTTAATGCCCACAGTAGCTTTTCAGCCATCGCCATGCAGATGCTTTTCTACCAACGCCTACACTGTATGTAAAAAGAATGTTCAATCTGAGGAAAACTACTAAAAATACTAAATATACTTAAATCTTAAACTTGAACTGTGAACTGAATTGCCCTTTAAGATTAATACAGTTTATTGATTGAATAAAGGTACAGGAAGATAATAAATCTATCTAGACAAAATAACGTAACATGCCCTCTCACTGCTATAACTACTACTTCTATTACAGTTAGCTTTAGATAAAGTACTTCAACCACAATGCCAATATGTATCACTAAAAAGTACTAATATCATCACTGTTATCCATATTAATATAACAGTATAGTAAATAAGTAATGTAAGTAAAGTAGGTTTGGGTTATATGCCAAAAAAATCCAATTCCAATTTCTAATAACCAGATAAATTTTTTTTATTTCTTTATATTGCCTTTACAAGGAAATTGAATAAAGTTATCTGAATCTTAGGACATCTGCTTCTTCTGAGAATGTCTTTCACCTCATTTCAATCTGATTGAATAAATCACTTACTCAGAGGCTTATGGAGGTTGACCACATGGGTGAGAAAAGTGTATTTGGGTACAGCACTAGGGATGCACTGATACAATACTGGCATCAGATATTGGCACCGATATTGAAAGTTTTGGTGTATCAGATATAGGCCTCCAAGATATCAGTTCAGCTAGTATCTCAAGTTGGTCTATAAACTGGTGTAATGAGACAATACTACCTAGTGTTGGCCCAAAACTTCTCATAATATTAAATGTGTAATTTTACAAAGCTGTTCAGTAATTACAAAACACATTTAGATATTTTTTTTCACTTTAATGAAAATATTATGTATTTCATTTAAACTCAAATATTTAAACAAAATACAGAATATTTTCAGTCTCTGCCCTAGTATCATTTGATATCAGGTATCAGCAGAGTATTGATGGAAAGTACAAAACAAACGTATAAACATCCTTCTATCCATTGTTGCCGGAATGAAATCACAGGATCATTCATTTTCTTTGGTTATGACTAGTGATAAATGTCAAAAAGACTTACATTTTCATATTTTACACATACAACTACTTCAGCTAACTAGAGTATTCACTTTTACTACCCGCTTTGCTACTTAGTACAAGTACATCCAGTTCCACTCCTTTCATTTGCATTTAAAATTGTATTATGTTATGTACAAACAACATATAATCCCTTTCTCCTTGAGTATTTGCATTTTCATACGGCAAGGACCACTCCATGTTTATTCCATCAATGATATGTAGTGCACATAGTCGCATTAATCACGCAGCACCAGACGAATGGCTGGTTGTCTGTTGACCGTATAATTTACATGGCTCTCTGCATACAAGATGAAGAGAGTCTTACAGAGTCGAGGGTTTTTCCCACTTCCTTTCCGCCAACTTCCTGTCTAAAGGTCCTGGGTGCGTCTGGTTGAATGCATGCTAATCTATGTTTTATACACTGGGGGGTGAGCTGTTAAACTTTGTCTGATATAATTTGTGCTACAGTAAAGGTGGAGGGAGAAAATGGCGTCATCTGGTGATAAATTAGATACCTCCAGGAGACTGTGATTCCTTACCCCTGGCAATAGGACATAATCTCATTTTTGCTGCTAAGTCACCTTCAGGGACCACACTTCTCTGAAATAAGTGAAAGCTTGGTGGGACAGTGTGTGAGGATGGGCAGGATAGCACTGTAAACAATATTTGAAGGAGAGCCCAATCTATATATCTTTGGAACAATGGGTTGGTAAAATAAATAATAAAAGTAACAAATTCGATAAGAGTATTAAGAAGGGTATCATAAAATTATATTACATAAGGGTATCATTATATAACTATAAACTACCATTTTCAATTTAAGTCATAGAGCCTTAGTAAATGTTTTGTTTTCTATAAAATATGGCAAATAAGCAAAACATGTTATATTAAGTTTATATACGCACAAAAGTTCTCAAGTAACTTTACAGTTCTAGGCCAATCAGCATTGTCTTTCAAGAATATAACAGAATGGAACAAATTACCAGCACATTTAAAACTATGAAAAGACTTTTAAAAAGTTTACTGCTGAATTAAGAAAACTTCTTTTAGTACCAACATTAAGTGCCAACTAATGTAGAAAAAAACAACGTATAACTAACAACTAAATTATACCTGATTAGGGGCACAAAGGAAGTAAGTAGTAGTAAGAAGTAATGGGATAGAGATAATACTAATAATCTCATTGTACTTTTTTATAGCTGTTAGTATATAGATTGCATTGTACAAATAAATACCACAAAAAAATACTGACTATGGCAAAGGAAATAGCTTATTTCAAAATGTTGAAAGTAACTACATTTTGTTCCCTATACTGTGACATTTAGATAATTAGATACTTACATTGACAACATTATTCATTTTTATATTCTGCTGTTATGTCGTCATTTTTACCTCTGCAACAAAGTCACCTTGGATATGAAATCATGGGGCTGTAAATAAAATATTGTCATGGTATTTTACAGTAATTAAACAACAGCAACATTACGTTAGCCACCTACTGTACATTCCAAGGGCGCAGGATTACTATAAAGCTACACCATACACACTATAGGTGTGCGTTGTACAGCAAAAGTTATCCGTCTTTGTCAGAGCGGGGTGAAGAAATCCCCAAACTTTATCTATGTCACATCTGTTTTAGCGCTGCAATCTGTTAGCACATAAGCAGCTGTTGGAAAAAGGCCCCTGGTACTCATTGCACAGTTTGTGAGCAGTGTGCATTTCCCCAAGCCTTTCTGCAGCGGAAACAGATCAATGTTATTGGCTGAAAAAGACTTGAATAAATATAGCCCGGGTTAAAAAAAGGTATATAATTTAGCTCCAAGTGTTTTGCCAGTATGCCTGTAGGAGACAGTGCAATAAAGCGCACACAAGAGAAAATTTCATCCAATGCCAGTCTATTATATTTAGGTAGGATTATATTTGGGTAGAGAAGAAATACTACACAAAATCAGTCAGTTATTTGCAGTAAGAGTTGAAATGACAACTTTAGAAGTTTGTACAAAAATGGTGTTTTCCAAGAACAGTCAAATCTACATACTTTTCACTCACAAATAATTTATGTAAAATCCCAAGTCGTTGTCAACATTAGCTACTGCTAGTATCAGTGCTGTTACTACTGATAGAATACTTCTATGACAGCTATATGATATACATAACAATACAACCACTATTATTACTACATCACAGCTATCTAGTTACTTTATGGTGCTATTATATGCAAAGTTTAGAAAGTGGAATTTAATGTAGGCCTTAATAGTTCATCATATTTCAATCAAAGTCACTCACTTCTAATTGCAAATGACATGCTTAGGCCTTTTTAATCAAGGTCTAAAGCCCATAATCTGTTAGTAAAAGTATTGGGTTTAGAATAAAGACAAAACAAAAAGTGGGACTGATGGAAAAGGAGAAATTCAATTTGTCAGCTGAACAAAAGTTGACAAATGAGCAGTGGCTCAGTTGGTAGATCATTCATCCACTGATCTGTTCGAATCCCGCTCTCGACATAAACATCATGGGTTGAGCGGGGTTGAGCTTCACAGATTGGCTGGTGTACTTCCAGCTCCCACAGATGAATGCTGTCGTTGTGTCCTAGGGCAAGACACTTAATCCACCTCACCCACAGTGTCTGCATACATTGGTGTGTGTGAATGGGTGAGTGGTTCCTTGTTGTAAAGTGCTTTGAGTGCCTTGAAGGTGGAAAACGCTGTAGAAAAATGTGACCATTTACGTTTTGCAGGTCACCCAAGCTCCTTCTTCTGTTTTGGTCAGATTGCTGGTGGACACTGCCTTACATATATAGAAAGGAGCTAACTACATTGAAACTACCCTGAAACTAACACACCTACTCATTTACAGTTTCTGTTTGTTTCTGACAAAAAAAGAAACATTTATCCCATTGACAAATTGAATTTCTCTCTTGCAATGGATTCTACCTGGACGACTGTGGGATTTTACACACACTGGGATTGATCATTTTTTTGTCATATTTCCTAGGCCTGATTGAATGTACTCGGAATACAAATGCATTTTTCAGTTTTAGTTGCCTTAGTTATATGGGCATTGTTATAAAATAGAGCATAATTATTCCATTGACCTATAAGCCAACACATAGGTTAAATAGCATCATTATTAATTTATTGATTCTTATTGCAGTAATCTATCTCTACAGTGAGGTAAAAACAATAGAGTGGGTTTGTTATAGGAATGTACAGTTAATTGAATTTAAATTGAGACCTATTCCAACTTGTAATGTCATGTGGTAGTACAGGAGGTGCTCCACTGCGTTTTTAAACTCCATACACCTTCACTAGAATCATTTGGATAATTTCAGCCCTGAAAATGCCAGCCTCTACTGAACTAAATGTAAAAGATAGTAGTTAACTTGAAGACTACCACTTCATGACATCACAAGGTGGAACAGAGCATTTTGTTCTTTGGAGATGTAGACAGATTAATAATAAA